TTTTAAAAAAATTATTTATTATTTTTATTTTATGTGTATGCATGTATTGCCTGCATGTAGGTGAGTGCACCTGTGTCGTGCAATGCCCACGGAGGTTAGAAGTGGTTGGATCCCCTGGAACTGGAGTTGTTAGCTGCCATGTGGATGCTGGCATTTGAACCTGGGTCTTCTGCAAGAACAACCAGTGTTCTTAACTGCTGAGCCATCTCTCCAGCCCGATGTGCTGTGTTTTTATTCTCATTTGTTTCAGCATATTTTGAATTTCACTTCTAGATTCTTCTTTTCCCATTGGTTTCTTAGAAGTATGTTATTTAGTTTCAAAATACTTAGTGCTTTACAAAAAACTTTTATATTGATTTCTAATTGAGTTAGAGTTTGGTCACAAAGCATACTTTGTATACCTTAAATTCTTTTAAATTTATTAAGATTTATTTTAGAGCCTAGAATATAGTCATATTCTAGCTTAGTAAATATTCCATATGTCCTTAAAAAGAATGCTTACTATGTTATTGCTGGGGAAAGTGTTCTACAAGTGTCAAGTTAGTTGGTAATTTTGTTTTTTGATCTGCATTGATTTTGTTATAAGTCATTGATAGAGGGCTGTTGATTATAACTAATAAATTTAAATAAAGGAAGAGAAAGGCAGGTTTAGTTCACCAACTGCCTCTGGTACCTTTGTGAGTAAAGGTGTTGCTCCCAGGAGTGAGTCTAAATGTGATTGGGCCTTTTAAATGCTGTATATATGACAATGCTGTATAAATATAAGCAAAGTGCTTTCTATGACAGCCCAACAGCAAAGAAAATCGCCTTCCTATTCTCTCCAATGCAGTTCAACTTTATTGCTTTCCTTTATACATGCACCTTTATTTATTTCTCTTTGTTCAAAATTCTGGAGATACTGCTATTGGATAGTGATATAGTGTTTATATTCTTCATTATTAGAACATAAAACACAGGCATATTCCTAAGCAAGTGAACAATAAGGCATAGATTGTCAAGTTTGTAACTCATAAGCTAGAGAGACGGTTCACAGATTATCCACATGATCATGTTCACCCAGGGCTTATTTTGCATTCCATAATTTACACAAATAACCGAGAACACTGAAAGCTGAGTCTGTTATCTGTATGCATGTTTGCACTTCTAGATACCTTATAGTAAATTTAATCTTTTGAATAGCTATTTTAGAAATTAAGTAGGAATACTAAATCGATAGACTTGTAAACTTTATGCCCCGGCTTAGATCAGAAAGGGTTTGAAGAGTTACTGTTTATAGATTTTTTTAAAGCTCTCTTAGACAATGTCAAGACTTTAGCATGCGACAGTCTCTTGAATTATAGCACATCAACTTTAATACGTACCTCAGCAATGATAGGGGTCTTAAATAGGCAGTCATATTTACTAAAGAAACCTAGAGTTTTCTTAGATTGCCAACCTTAGCAAGACAAGAAATGTCAGGGTGACAGAGTTTAAGTGGCTCTTTTCAGATATATCACACTGATTCTCTATATTTAAGATGCAAAACAGCCTTCCAGGAGCTGTTTAATTAAGTGAAAGTAAGTCTAGTCCTTTTGGAACCAAATGGCTCAGTGAGCAAATACATATCAGAGAGTGAGGGAATGGGGCGTTATTACGAGCTTCATAGGCATGGTGACACTTTATAACCCCATATCAGGGATTCTAAACAGTGATTGGTTGAGAAAATTATCAAACTGAGTTTAAATTTCAGCAGGTACAAAATTGTCATGCAAAAGCCCAGGGCAGTGTACCACTCTCAGCCTGGGAAGACAAGGATAAGAAAATCTGGATTTTCCAAGTCCCTCTGAAGGCTTTTAAGGTAAGATGGGACACCCTGTTTTCTCCGAGTCAACTGCTTCCTGTAGAAAGAGTTTCCAATTACAGAGATGAAGACAACTTGATTTTAAGTGAACAGCCTTTTTTGGGGGTTAAATTTTTCCCCTTTTTGACTCTTCATGTGTAGTGTATATATTAAAAAATAATATATTATGTGGAAGGGATGTTAACTCGATTTTGTATTGCATCACTGTGAGTAGAACCTTTCCCTCCTCTAAACAGTAGGTTGTTAAAATATTGTTGCTTACTAGAAAAAGTAAACCCAAGATGAAAAAAGTATTCTAATCAAAATAATGTTAATAAAATCAATGATTAGAATACTTTATATATAATTCACTATAGCTCTACTTTTATTTTTATCCAAGAAATAAAAAGTATATTTAACACCTTTAAATCAAATCAAAGGCATTTTTCAGCCTTAGCATTGTAGTGTAAGAAGTAATGGTATTTAATTCAAAGGGTAATCAAATAATCTCTTCCTCTTTAAAAGAGTAACAACAGTAACTTCAAACACTGGCTCTTCCTCAGAAATAAACTGGATTTGGAGTTTGATTCACCCACTGTTCTGCAGGGTCTCAAAGTCTACCTAATTCACATGATTAAAAGTTCTCAGAGAGAAGGCTAGACGTGTTTCCAGGACTCAATATCTGACCTGTGTTAGTCTTCAGGTGTTTTTTGACTGAATAAATAAATGTATCTGAGTTTACATTTAATATCTTAACCCAAATGAAATCAACTTGGCCCTGGAAATCAATTTTCTGATATTTGATGTGAAGATTCCAAAAGCCAGACTGATAAAGGTCTACTCAGAGTATGCACAAACCCGCTTTCTGTCACATTCATTTTCTGCTTCAAATGCCATGCATGATAGGGTTAGAAAAAGAAAGATATATTGCCAAAAAATTGGCAAAGGTTAAAGTGGAAATTTGATAAATATGTGGTCACTTTGAATAATTTTGATGAAAAATTAGATGACTCAGATTTTTTAAGTCTCTCTCAGGCTTTCCAAGAAAGCCGTAATTAAGCTTTGCTTTTTGATATCTTCTTTTTGACATATTTAAATTAACTTGCTAATGGCTAAATCTCAATTCAGGTGAGACAATAAATGAGCTCATTTGAAGATGGTGGCTCAATTCTGAGGTTTCCGCTAGGCCAATGACATGGTCATTTTCATCATAGTCTTGGTGTTGTTGATTGCCGTTGCGTACACCAACAAGCACCACATGCTGTCATTCTGGAGTGGAGTGAAAAAAGGGTAGAAGGGCTCAGGCGGTTGGACTGCAGTTTAGAAATGAGATGCAGGTATTGCTGAGCTTCATTACAGGTGCCTTTCCAGGGCTAGGGAATCCTGAGATCGCAGCGGAGAGCGGTTCTAAGCAGTCATAATCGGGTCTGGTCTTGCCAAGAGCTTTTGCTTACTAAACACTTGGCCTTCAACCTCTCTGCCCCAGAACTCTGTCTCAAGGTGCCTTAGCCTCATTTCAGTCTGTAGCATTTTATAGGGCACGCTAGCTTTTCTTGGCTTTCTCTTGAACAGATAAGGGTAAACACCTTTTTTGCAGAGGCCGTGGAATGGTGTTCTCTCTCTTGTGAAGCAATACCAATAATTCTTTAAAAAAAATCATTATTTTAATTTTATGTGTATATGTGTATTGCCTGCATGTAAGTAAGGGCACCGGTGTCTTTTAATGCCCGCGGGGGGTCAGAAGAGGCTGTCAGATCCCCTGGGACTGGAGGTACAGCCAGTTGTTAGCTGCCATGTGGGTGCTGGGATTTGAACCTGGGTCTTCTTCAAGAAGAACCAGTGTTTTTAACCTCTGAGCCATCTCTGTAGCCTGTTTTTTTTTTTTTTTTTCCTTTTGAGACAGGGTCTCCCTGTAGCCCCAACTGTCCTGGAAGTCACTATGGAAACCAGGCTAGTCTGGCTCTCACAGAGAGATCCCCTTGCCTCTGCTTCCCCAGTGCTGGGATTAAAGGTGTGGCCCAACACACCCAGGTCAGTAGCAATAATCCTGAATCATATTCACTGAGGTTTTATTAAAATTTTCACTATTAGCCTTGAATTCAATCAGGCCATTTTTATGACATGAAGAATAATAATCTTTAATTCCACTGGGAGGTCATGAAATAGAAGAAAGCAATCCTTTCTACAGTAACAGCATCATGCTGTAAAGACACCAAGCTTTTAGTAAACAGGAGTCTAAATTTTTGATTCACATGGATTTTTCTTTTTATAAGTTCTATTCCAATGTATGAAAAATCTATATCAAACCCTTTGTGAATTTGCACTGTAAGGGGCTTTTAGAAGTCCCATTATTTAGGAGGAGACTGAAGAGTGCTTGGAGTAGTACAGGGTGTTGTTTATACTAATGAATACTTTTTCATCAGCAACATTCACAAGATATCTTTTATGAACTTTGCATCAGAGGACAATGACAACCAAGATATTCTCCTGGGATGCAAGAGTTTCTTTTAGGGCAGAGGAACACAGGAGTAACTAGGCAACTTCACAACAGTACAGTGTGTTACCAGTGAGATATGCAGAGGTGCTGGGTCTAAAAAAGTGAGACAGAATGTCCATTTAATGGAATTAGAGAAGGATTCTCACAGATAATTCTGCTAATCCTTGGGGGTATTCCAAGGTAGGGTATTATTATTATTTCAGCTGGAGGAAACAAAAGTCTAAAAAAGAAATTTAAAACATTTAAGATCAGACAGTCAATAGCAGGAACAGATTCTGAATTCAGGTCTCTGAATCTAAACCCTGTATTCTTTCTCCTAGCCCAGGCTCCCTCAGCTCAGTCATTTCTTCCTCTTATAATATGGTAGCCCTAACTCTATAGAGGTTCAGGACTAAAAGTGCTTCATCTTTCAAGTATATTTTTAGCAGAATTAACTATGCTACTATTGTCAGCAACAGAAGGACAGTCATGGCTCTGTACTCCACACCACCATGGCTGCTGCCCTCATTTGAGCTAGCAGAAAAAAATGGAAAGCTACATCTGCTTAGTGTGCTCAGAACCCCACCCCCCATGTCTCCATGACTGTATCAGGTTTATGATGTATTACTATAGTTACCATCTTTCACTTTATGAATAATTTTGTAACATTCTTTTTTCCTAAACAGCCATTGATTACTATTCCTTATGAAAATGAAGATAATTATATATATTTGCATTTGGACAGTTGCGTGGGCCATCCCAGTAAGTATATCTTCCTCATCAAAGTGCTTACTTTGCCATATCGTTGAACCTAACATTGAAATGTTCATAATTTGTTTATGTTTGGGATAAGTTGAGTCCGAACATTTATATTTTCGTTAAAGACCTTACATGATAGCGTTTGAGGTTTTGACCAAAGCAAATATGTGCTTCAAATCATGCTCCTCTTCTTCCAGCTGAAACTTACATCTTATCAGAGGATGATTGTTTGAAAAGTTTACTCAAATTAGTTCAATGCCCAGAAGTCAAGAAGGCATTGTCTATCTTTGCTTTATGTCATGTGAATTTTATTCTAATAGCAACAGAGCCTATGCTGTTTAGGAAATTTTGAAGAACAATAGGTAAAAATTTGGGTTTTGTTTATTTGTTTTTTTTCTTTCCTTTTCTTTTTTCTTTTTCTTTTTGTAATTTTTTGAGACAGGGTCTCCCTGTTGCCCTAGGTACCCTGGAACTCACTATTTAGGGCAGGCTGACTTGGATCTCACAGAAATCCAACTGCCTCTGCCTCCTGGCAAATTGGATTTTTTAAAACATATGATCAAATCAGTGTTTCACATGAGAGTTATTCATATGCTTACTATAGAGGACTTGAAACATGAATAAACACAAATACAGAAACATTAGGCAAACCAACCCTTTCAAGAGTTCATTAGCCATGTCTAACACTTTCTTCTGTTTTCATATAACTAGACATTTGGGTATTTCTGTACCTGAGAATTTTCCTAAGTATTTTAAGCTTACTCTTGCAGAGCCCAGAAGTAACAATTGCCTGACTGTTTCTCCATCAGCTTTGGTCACCCTCGCTGTTGTCTTAGGGGTTTGGCCTGGGGTCAGATTTGGGGTGGGTGCTGTACAGGTTGTTGCCCGGCTTTGATTAACACAACAAGGCTGTATCTCCTTGTCTTAATACATTTGAGAACACTGCTCTGGTAATACGTCAATAAAATTGAAGATAGTATAATAATATCCCTTTTCTGCAGAAGTCCTGTAACAAGCTGCTTTTCTTTTTTATGTTATTAGATTATGAGTCAACCTTTGTATTATTCATTTTTATTTTCATTTAGGGGGAATGCATGTACATGTGCACGCAAAGTAATCCACTCAAAATGAAAATCTATATAATATCCAATGTTTTTACCTTGACAGGTTCCTCAGCTCAAACCATTGGAAAGCCATGCTGTTGAAAAACCTGGGAATTTAAGTTTTCTAACAAATTCAAGAGCATCGGTACAGGTACAAGACATAAATGTTTCAGGCTCTAGTGGATCAACCCACACTGAAGGACATTTGGGGACACAAACCTGACTCATATATTAGAGTACAGAAATTTGGTAGGAGGTCAGTAAGGCAAGATGTAGATATGAGACCTAAATATGATCAAAATATATTGCATGAAATTCACAAAAATTCAATAAAAAGTAATTTTAAAAAACACATAAAAATAATACATCAAAAAAACCAGGTGGAAGGTAGGAATTGGAGAGATTGCTCAGTGGTTAAGAGCCACTGAGTGGTTAAGATGGGAGTTTAGTTCCCAGTGCCCACCTGATGGCTAGCAACCATCCATAACTCCAGCTCCAGGCCATCTGATGCCCTCTTCTGACCTCCACAGGCATTGCATTGACATGGGTGCACTTACACACATGCAGGCAATACACTCATATGCATAAAATACAAATAGTTAAAAAGAAGACAGTCAGATAAATGCAGTGAGGAATGTCAGCTGAGCTGCTTGACACTTGGGTATCAGTTCCATTCCTGCCACTCTGGAGCTGGGCATCTGCAGGTGACTTTGCTATGGTCCTGAGCTCCTGTTCCTTCATCTTCAGAGTTGGCACAATGATCTTACTCCCTAGCTACCCATTTGCTGCCATTATTAGAACATTCTTAAATTGTGTGGCTAGTTTACAAATGTTGTCACATAATTTTATTTTTCTACCCCATCCCAAAGTCGCTATTTGATTTTTTTAACCTCCCTTATCCCTAGTTGTCCAATGTGTTAGTCAGCTTTCTCTTACTATAACAAATACCTCTAATAAATCAACTTTAAAAATAAAAAAATGATATGTGTTTCCATTCATTTTCTGTTTTCAAACTGGTTTTATATTCTATTACTTTCTTCAATTTTTCCATAATTTTTTACCAGATTGCTTTAAGATGACACCCACAATTGATTTTGAATTGTGTCTGTTTTTCAGAATGAATTTCCTTTCAGCGATACCATTAAAGAAAGCAGTCATCACCTGAATGCAAGTGAAATAGAAAGGCAACAGTCTACCAATGATGGTTATGTAGGAGAAGGGAATGGCTCTAAATGGATAGACGTAGGAGGGAAAAATTCTTCTACACATTCCATTTTAGCAGATGGACAGAATATTGAGGATGAAAATGAGAACACAGAAAGCCCAGAAACATATGGTCATGATGGAATACGTGTAGAAGAAGATAACAACACAGTAAATGGTATCAGAAAGCTAGTAGGTATCACTGGAAATGCTGGGGAAAATAATGAGAGTAATATTAATGGACATACTGATCAAGACACAAAAAATGGGAATGCTGGGAATACAAGTCAGAACGAGAATGCTACTATTATCCAAGAAGACGTGCCTCAAGTAGCTGGATGCAATAATAGTCCAAACCATGAGGGTGAAATCAATGGGAATGAGGGTGTCACACATGAAACAACACCTCTGAGAGGAGAGGGAAGTGGGAATAAGGAGACCGAGGTAACACCAAGCACTGGGGAAGATGTTGGCTTAGATGACTCAGATGGGAGTCCTAGTGGGAATGGAGAAGGTGAGGATGAAGACCAGGGCTCTGGTGATGATGAAGGTGCAGAAGCAGGGGATGGTAAAGGGGGCAGTGATAACAGTAAGGGCCAGGCTCCTGGGAAAAATGGTGGCAGCAGAGGTCAGAATTCTGTTAGTGGTGAAGATGCTGACTCTAAAGGCAAAGAAGGTCCCCCAAATGGCCATGACAGAGACAACACCTCTAGCAGTGAGGAGAACGATGTTGCAGAAGGCAATGGCAGCCATGCAATAGAGAAAACCCTGAAGCTCGGTCTCAAAGAAAACAAAGGTGTAGAAAGTGGACTCGCCAAACAATCAGAAGCAAGTCCTCTCTGGAGGCTCCAAGATAAGGTTAGTTTTGAATCTAATTTCTTTCAGTGTCTGTTTACATTCTTCCCCTCCACCCTGTCATGGCAGTGCCAAAAACAAAACAAAACAACAACAACAACAACAACAACAAAACATTATGATAAACATCCAGGTACTAGCTCACCTCTGTTGTTTGAATATTTGAATGAGAAAGCAAGTCCTTAATAGACTTTGATATAGAACAATTTTCAAAATCAGAATTTTCTGAAAAATTAAACACAATTATAGAAAAGCCTTATGCTGAATAATGGCTTCATAACATTTTTGAAAAACATTTGTATTAGGGCCATATTAATTATACAAAATAATGAGTTTTACTGTCACATTTTCATCATTGTATAACTTTACAAAAGTTCCTACTAGGGGGGCTGGAGAGATGGCTCAGAGGTTAAGAGCACTGACTGCTCTTGCAGAGGATCCAGGTTCGATTCCCAGCACCCACATGGCGGCTGTGAACCATCCTTAACTCTAGTTCCAAGGGAATCCGAAGCCCTCTTCTGACCTCTGTGGCATTGCACAACACGGGTGCACTCACATACATGCAGACAATACACTCATACACATAAAATAAAAGTAATAAATAAAATATTTTTTAAAAATCTCATCAAACCATCTTTAAAAAAAGTTCCTTCTAGAGAGTAGCGTGTCTGGGTTATTAAAGAATCCAAACACCAAGACTGAGTACTTTCAAGTACTGAAAAAACATGCTCCCACACATTACTGTGCATGCTGGAAGCTGGAGTCCTGTTCCTACAGTCATTTCCCCCAGACAGTTCTCCTTGGACCAATGGAATTTTACAGCAAATATTCACTAATCATACATCCTTCTCTCCACTTTCCCACAGGGAATAGAAACTGAAGGTCCCAGCAGTAGCAACAAAAGTAATATTACCAAAGAAGCTGAAAAACTCAATGAAGGTAAAGAGAGCAATGGACAACATGGAATGGGAGTGCACAAAGGAACTGCCAAGATACAAGGAGAGGTTGACAACACTCAGGGGCCTGACCAGAAATCTGAACCTGGCAGTAACGTGGGAAACAGCAAAGTAGGTAGTGGTAGCAATAGTGATGGGTATGGCAGTTATGATTTTGATGATGAATCCATGCAGGGCGATGACCCCAACAGCAGTGATGAATCTAATGGCAGTGATAGTGCTCACTCAGAAAGTGGCAATGACAGCAGCAACCGGGGAGATGCTGCTTACGACTCTGATGAATCAAGAGATAACAGCCATGACAGTGACTCAAATGGAGACGAGGACAATGGTAGTGATGACAGATCAGACGCTGGGGACAGTGACAGCAATGGTGATGACAGTGAGAGTAATGGCAAAGATGAATCAGAAAGCAGTGACCACGAGGACCAAAGTGACAGTGACAGCAAATCAGACAGCAGTGACAGCAGTGATAGTGGTGACAGCAGTGAGAGCAGTGAGAGCAGCAATAGCAGTGACAGCAGCGATAGCGATGACAGCAGTGACAGCAGCGACAGCAGTGATAGCGATGACAGCAGTGAGAGCAGTGACAGCAGTGACAGCAGCGATAGCAGCGACAGCAGTGATAGCAGTGACAGCAGCGATAGTAGTGAGAGCAGTGACAGCAGTGACAGCAGTGATAGTAGTGACAGCAGCGACAGCAGTGACAGTAGTGACAGCAGTGATAGTAGTGACAGCAGTGAGAGCAGTGAGAGCAGTGACAGCAGTGACGGCAGTGACAGCAGTGAGAGCAGTGAGAGCAGTGACAGCAGTGACAGCAGTGACAGTAGTGACAGCAACGATAGCAGTGAGAGCAGTGAGAGCAGTGACAGCAGTGATAGTAGTGACAGCAGCGACAGCAATGACAGCAGCGACAGCAGTGATAGTAGTGACAGCAGTAATAGTAGTGACAGCAGTGATAGCAGCGACAGCAGTGATGGCAGTGACAGCAGCGACAGCAGCGATAGTAGCGACAGCAGTGATAGTAGTGACAGCAGTGATAGCAGTGACAGCAGTGAGAGCAGTGATAGTAGTGACAGCAGCGATAGTAGTGACAGCAGCGATAGCAGCGACAGCAGTGACGGCAGTGACAGCAGCGACAGCAGCGACAGCAGCGATAGTAGCGACAGCAGCGATAGTAGTGACAGCAGCGATAGCAGTGACAGCAGTGAGAGCAGTGACAGCAGCGACAGCAGCGATAGTAGTGACAGCAGCGACAGCAGTGACAGCAGTGAGAGCAGTGACAGCAGCGACAGCAGCGATAGTAGTGACAGCAGCGATAGCAGTGACAGCAGTGAGAGCAGTGACAGCAGCGACAGCAGTGATAGTAGTGACAGCAGTGATAGCAGCGACAGCAGTGACAGTAGTGACAGCAGTGACAGCAGCGACAGCAGTGATAGTAGTGACAGCAGCGATAGCAGTGACAGCAGCGATAGCAGTGACAGCAGTGATAGCAGTGATAGTAGCAACAGCAGTGACAGTAGCGACAGCAGTGACAGCAGTGACAGCAGTGAGAGCAGCAACAGCAGCGACAGTAATGACAGCAGCAACAGCAGCGATAGCAGTGACAGCAGTGACAGTAGTGACAGCAGCGATAGCAGTGATAGTAGTGACAGTAGTGACAGCAGTGATAGCAGCAGCAATGGTGACCAGGAGGATAGCACATCCAACAGCAGCAATGAGAGTGACAGCCACAGCAAATCTGGCAATGACAACAATGGAAGTGATAGTGACAGTGACAGTGAAGGCAGTGACAGTAACTATTCAACCAGCGATGATTAGAGCAGAGAAACCTCCATGAGATTCTTTTCACAGAAGTTTCAGCAGTAACTGAAAGGAAATAAGGATTCCTAACCAAATGAAGAAAGGAAAGAGATGAATTATGTAGACACCCAAAGAGATCACAGGGGAATCCAGTCAAACTGTTGGGTTTGGAACCAAGGCACAACTCTCTCAGAGATAATCTGAGTGCATGATGTTTGGTATGTGGAGGATAACATATATTCATGCTCTGAAAATATTTTGTTAAAATGTAAATCTTAACATGAAATGACAATTAAAGTACCTTTAATATTTTGCCTAGAAGCCTGAAGTAATCACTTGCTACAGTACATAGCTTCAGTTTGAATGACTGCTGCATTAGGGGGTATAGCAAGCAAACCAAGAGCAGCCTGTAGCATTGCCTTCATCCTCTAGTGTTCACTGATCCAGAGAGACTGTCTTCATGCTGTGGCAAGAACGATGCTGTTCTGTGACATCCAACTTAGCTGCTGTTTCATTTATTCATTCTAGGGAAAAAAATACATTGTGACACAAACAAAATGCCTCAGCAAGTATTGATTCTAAGGCACCAGAATAATCTTTGTGATGATCAAATATAGTAGCTATGAATAATAAATTAAGAAAACTGTGAAGAATGAACGCTAGTCAGAAAAGAGTTCAGAGGATGGTTCAAACAAAATTGGAACGGTGATACTGCATATCTGAAAATATTGGGATTTACTACAAAGTCCCTAGAACTACTTCAGTACTCAGAACATTGCTTGACTTCCAGTAGGCACTCTCCAAATATTAAGTAAATGAGTACACTAATGAATGATTTGGGGAGGTGGGGGTCACTTTTGAATTTGTACAGTACTGCATTATCAGTTGTCTTCAAAGAAGTCTCGCAAATCAAACTTGGTTCAAAATCCCACTTAAATGTGAATTGTAAAGGCGTATGAGAATGGAGTGGTCCTTAGTAGGGGACTAGGGAATTCTGACAGTGAGAAGGAGGGTATGAACTAATCACATGGATATAGGCAATGTGAATTGGGATTGTTCCTATGAAACCAGGGGACCGTGCACCTCTAACCCCTGAAACTGGCGAACATTTTTCAAGATTTAATATCGATGCTTTGTCATTTTTCTGTTTTCCACTTAAGCAGTTATTTCAGATTTGGTTTAAATCAAAGTTAGTAACTGCATTGTGCGGTTATAAATGCAACTTCTTTAGCACTAATTTTCAACTAGTGTTTAGTTGACTATTTTCTAGTTTTAGACATATTTTACCCAAAGAGTTTTATGAATTTCTTTTTCTTGGTGCTCTCAAGGAGCACTTTTGCAAGAGTTTCTTAGTAAAGGAATACTGCTGAAGGCTTTAAAAATGGTGCTATTCATAACTTCTAATACTGTGACAGGCTTCTACTAAGCCACAGCCATACAATGACTTCAAATTTCTTACCGAAAACTATGCTCTAGCCTTTCAATTCTATTAGTCTGCAAACTTTCTTACTTGTTTTTCTTTGTTTTAACTTGTAAACTATAACCTTAGTATCTGTCACACCTACTTTTAAAGGTTGTCATGATCACTAAGCAATGGATGTGGAGCGCTTTGTAAACTGTATAAGATATGTAAATGAAGAGATAATGAATTCCATTATTATAATAAATTTGTATTTATATAGTTACAAGAAAAAATCTTCATCCTACTAAATTACTAAATAAGTAATTTACAAGTACTTGCCCTCTCTCCCTCTCTCTGAGGATAATCCTCAGAGATTACATTTCTTAGGCTAGGCATGGTGGCATATACCTTTAGTTTCACGTAGAGGCAGGAAAATCTCTGTGAGTCTGAGGCCAGCCTGGTCTTCATAGCAACTTCCAGGCAAGTCTGTCTACATAGTGAGCCCCTGCCTCAAAAACCAAAAAAACAAATAAACATATTTCTTACATGTGGTATTTTTTATTAAAAGCAATACATCTGAACACAAAAACCCAAACTTCAAACATTACAAAAAGTATGCACAATATTAAATCTTCACCATTCATCCCTTCTATATCTCTTTCTTAGAGATAATTCTTCTTACAAATATCTGGTGAACTTGCCAGAAATATTCTATACATATTTAAGTACCTATGTTCACCTTAAAAAAAAATCTATGGAATGCTGGTGCGTGGTGGTATATGCCTTTAACACTAGCACTTGGGATGCAGAGGCATTTACAGAGCACTCCATCCAAACACTAAAGAATACACTTTCTTCTTAGCAGCTCATGGAAATTTCTACAAATTGAAGCACAAAATAGAACACAAAGAAATTCTCAACAAATAAAGGAAAATTGAAATAACATCCTATATTCTATCTGACCACAAAGGAATAAAGCTGAATATCAACAATAGAAATGGCAGAAACATACACAAACTCATGGAGATAAAAAAAAACCAAAAACAACCACTACTGAATAAAAATTGAGTCAAGGGAGCAATCATGAAGGAAATAAAATACAATGCTAAAATTGAATGAAAATAAAAACACAACATACCAAAATCTTTGGGACACAATAAAAGCAACCCTAAGAGGAACATTTATAGTACTAAATGCCTATATCAAAAATGGAGAGATCTCATATTAACAACTTAATGATGCACCTCAGACTCTGGAAAAAGAAGAACAACGAATACCCAAAAAGAGTAGATGAGAAAAGATAATAAATACAGGGGCGGAAATCAATGAAATAGAAATGGAGAAAACAATACAAAGAATCAATGAAATGCAGAGTTGGTTAATCTTTGAAAAAATTAACAAGATTGAGAAATCTTTAACCAAATTAACCAAAAGAAAGAGAGAACCCAAATTAATAAAATCAGAGATGAAAAGGGAAACACAACCAATTCTGAGGAAAATCAGGGAATCAAAGACATACTTTAAGAAAAATCTATAATCCAGGCTGGAGAGATGATTCGGCAGTTAGGAGTACTAACTGCTCTTGCAGAGGACCTGGGTTTGATTTCCAGCACCCATATGGCAGCTAACAACCATCTGTACCTCCAGCTGCAGAAGATTCAATGCCCTCTTCTAACCTCTGTTGGCATTGTACGACAATGTGTGCACTTACACATGTGCAGACAATACACTCATACACATAAAAAATAAAAATAATGGCAGACTGCCTGAGAGCACCTGTATTGGACATCTGCTTGGGGGCAAGCTTCCCAAATTGTACCATGCCCACTCCCCTACATTGGGACTATCTGCAGCTCCTCCCACTGCCCCAGGACTAGGATTCTTTTCTGGCTGGTAGGGACCCAGACCTTTGAAAAATGCCCGATAGCACCCAAATCGGGCCTCTGCCTAGTGAGCTTCTCAAATTGTGTCATACCTGGTTGGCACCTGACTTGGGCCTCTGAGATGTCCTGAGTAGCTGAACTAGAGCAATCTGGCCCCTACAATATAAAATCAAAAGAGAGGACCTGAAGCCTAGACTAACCTGTATTTTGTACCCAATAAGAAAACAACCAAGGCACATCAATAAAACAAACATTATCAGACTTCAACTCAACAAAGGAAGGCTTGAGTTTCATAGTTTCATACCAGAATCACAAACAAAAGAAATCCATATGCCAAAATCACAAAGAAACAATAATATGAAAAAGCAAAATAATATGTTTTCATCAAGCACCACCTGTCCTTTAGAAGAGTTCCACAATGAGAACTCCCTAGAGTTACACAGGATGGAGAATTTAAGAGAACAATCATAAACATGACCAAAGAATTCAACAAATTTTAAGAACACATAAACAAACAAATCAAAGAACTAAAAGAAGATAGGGATGAACTTCCAACTGAATTCACAAAAGAGATAGAAATATTGAAGAAAACTCAGGCTGAAATGAAGAAGGAAGTGAAAAACTCAATAAGCCAAATTGAAATGACAGGAGAAAACCTTACCAATAGAATGAATGAAATGGAAAGCAGAATATCAAGATGAGGCAATAAAGTTGAAGAATTGGGCCACTCAAGCAAATATTATGAAAAAATAAATAAAAACACAGGAAGGGAGTATGCAGGAAATGTGTGACACCATGGAAAGACCAAATTTACGCATTGTAGGCATAGAGGAAGGAGAAGCATCTCAGGTTAACAGTATTGACCCGATCTTCAACAGGATTGTAGAAGAAAATTTCCCCAAACTATGGAAGGACATTCCTGTACAAATACAAGAAGCACAAAGAACACCAAATAGACAGTACCAGAGAAGAAACACCTGATGGCATCTCCTAGTAAAAACACTAAATGTTCAAATCAAAGACAGAATACTGAAAGCTGCAAAAGAAAAACAAGTCACATATGAAGGAAAACCCATTAGGATTACAGCTGACTTTTCAGTGCAAACCATGAAAGCTAGGAGAGCCTGGACCAAAGT